CTGTGGAGTATTTTGAGCTGAAACTTCACAGACACATTCTGGGGACACCAGAGACTTATATTACATATTGTGAAAAGGGGCACAATATGTCACCTTTAAAAAGTCGTTCAACCCCTAATATATATATATATATATATATATATATATATATATATATATACACACACTATCGTTTTAAAAGTTTGGGGTGAGTACAGTATTTAAAAAAATTTTTAAAAATGCCATCACAGAAATAAATTACATTTTAAAGTAGTTATTTTAAATTGAAGTAGCATTTCACAATATTTCTGGTTTTACTGATTTTTGATCAAATAAACAGCATTGGTGAGCATATAAGACTTACATAATACAAATACATAAGTAAATAAATAACCAGACCCAAACTTTTGAATGATTTAAGCATATTTAAATAAAAGTTTGCCACTTTCAGATTCAGGTACCAGCAAATCTTCAAATTGCAGATGAAGTGATCTAGCAGGAGTATATTTTGTAGAGGAGATTCATTCAACAAAAATGACTGAATATAATCTAAACCTGTGCAAATGACTATAGAAAAGGAATGAAAAGAATGTGTGTGTGTGTGTTTTTGAGTGCATCACAGTCAGTGTCTCACTGTTGTCTTGTGCTCTATAATCTCTCTTTTCAACCTTTCTAATATCTCCAGGCAAAAGCAACAAACAACAGCTGCTCTGTAAGCAAGAGACATCCTGCGCTGAGAAACGCCATCACTGCAGACGTCTCAGCAACACATGATCTCAGCGTGAATGCAGGAGACGCATACACTCATTCATTTTTACACGACACTCTCACCCACACGCTTTATATCTCTGACAGCACATCTCAGAGATCATTAAATAATATATACATATAAGTGGGTATAGAAAAGAATCAACCCTAGATCAACCCAACCCTAATGTCAAGTAATCAATGTGATACTGGTGGGGTATTCCAGAAAGCAGGAGTAACTTACCATAAAGCTTCCCATAAAGCTTCAACTCTCGGCTGATAAATCTAAACCTTTCTTACCTTTCTTTTAAACATTTAGGTTTTAATTTTGCATTAGTTTTAGTTGACAATAATAACCTTGGATTCACTCACACCACGGTCCTACCTCACTGAGATCTGCGATGGTGAGATTCATGCCTGCCAGCTGTTTCCACACAGGTTCAGCCAGGTACAGACTTAGAGGACTTCCTGTACGGATTGCTATGCCCAGGAGCACACCTATACACAAATAAATGAAGAGAGCATGGTATATCAATAGATCTAATGGTGGGAAATTCTACAGCTGTGCAATTACAAACTATTTCATCAAGTCTTGAAAGTATTTTCAATGTAGGAAACACAAGCAGAAGGTACCTAGGAAGCGGAACATGCTGATGTGCAGAGGGGACTTGGCAGCTGGGTTGAGCAGGAAGCAGTCTCTGTTCGCTCCTGACTCGTCTCGGCCATTAGGAGTGACGATGAGGAGAGGAGTGAGACCATTCTGTAGTTCCTCACACATTTCTGCGATAGATTCACTGTATCCACCACCACAGTCATCAACTGACTCTCCTACAAACACACACAAAGGGTCAAAAACATGTTAAAGACATGATCCAAGGGCCATTTTTCCCCTACATTTTCCCATCTTTCATCCTTCTCTAAATTCAAACTCACCCACAAACTTGACCTTCCAGACCCGGTGTGGCAGCAGCAGACTGTCAGGGCTGAAAGAGCTCATCTTAGCACACATCTGCCCAAACACTGACTTGGTGCCATCCGGTCCTGCCAGTCCTCCTTTACTGCGGGAACGCTTGACCTGATCGAGAGAATAAGGATAAATTATTACAGGCTTCTCCATATATAGCATTTCTGCTTTGATCTATAAACTCCACTCTTATGCTTTCCGGCTGTGAGACTTGCCAGATCACTGCCAGGCTCCAAGGGCCCTATTAGAGGGCCAATGGTCCATAAACAAACATATTTGGGGGTAAACCTCATGCTGAGCAGATTCAAAAACAAATCACACATGATGCTTAATGACCAAATCTCTCAAAATATTAAGATTAAGTGCTGCTAATTCTCACTCAAAATGATAACTAAAATAAAACGGATGGTAATAATCATGTGGTGTACATAGTACATGTGTGTCCATGCTGACAGGAAGGAGCAGGAAAGGCAACAGTAATTACGGTGATTAGGGAAAGGGAGATAATTTTACAGAGGACCCGCTAGCTATTTTTGCCCATTAAAAGTGATTGTTTATTTTGGATCCCGTTTACCACTCTAATGAACTCTCAAACCAAGTGGGAAATGCAAGCAAAAATTAGCTTTGGTGAATAAATAACATGCAATAACAACACAATGGGTTACTATTTAATGTACTGACATAAGAACCTGTTTGCTAACATATTTTAAATGTGCAAAAAATAAATAATTACATGGACGATATAAATTTTGGACCCTGATTGTGAGATTTATTTGACACCAAATTAGGATACAATTGAATGCAAATCTCAAACCACATGTGCAGTGTATACACGTGTACCTGTATCCTGTTTAGCTCCACCACTGGCCCATGTTGTCGGTCTCTAACCATCGTGGCTTGAACCACCTTTCGGAATGCTGCCTCCTATAGATATTTAAAACAAATATTAATAAATATAATCAGCAACTGTAATTTAAAAAATCCAAAAAATATTCTTGCCTTGCCCTGCGAAATAAGGATTCCTCGCAGTGTGTCAAAGCCAACGGAGACGCCGTGTCCAGTTTCACCCAGTCGTCCTTCTAGGTCAAACATTGGGATACAGGGGCAGAAGAGCTCTGAGATGTGGTGCAGTAGCAGTAATCGGTTCCTCAGGCCTATGATGGCGATCTCCTGCAGGTGGTTGTACTCCATAGGAACCTACAGACAGACATTTAATTACTTAAACACAACATTTAATCAGTGGTGGACAGTAACTAAGTATTTTTACTTCATTACTGTACTTAAATACAATTTTCAAGTATCTGTACCTTAATGGAGTATTTTTATTTTGGGAAACTTTTACTTTACTACATTCCAAATCATAATATTGTACTTTTTACTCCGCTACATTTCATAAAAACATGTTGTTCCTCATTATTTTGAACTGGAGAAATCATCAGGCACTACGAGACGTGATAACGGTGTCCGATTCGTGAACAAGCTGATTCTTTTCAATGAGCCTGTTAAATAGTCTCGCAAATCACACTGAATGATTCATTCGCGAACTGGATTGAGCAGATTGCAGCTGTTCTCGAGTCAGCAACTCACTGATTCAAATGATTCGGTCCAAGCGAGTCTCAAGTTAACAATTTACTGAATTCACAAGTCTGACTCAAAACAACGGGAGATCCTCTTTATGCAACTGATGGCATAAAGTAAGTTACTAATGCCAAATTTGAGCATTTATTATTGTAAATGAAAATCATATTTAGGTCATGAGTGTCCATTGCTTGCAAACTAAAGCTGCAGTAAAAGTGCTGTTTAAGCCCACTGTATAAAATTTTTGAACATAGGCATGTCCATATTTGTGTATTACCATCTGAATGGGGGAGGTTTTATTTAAACACTAAACATAACTTTAAAATAACACAAATGAATGCCCATACATCTACCCCGCTACCATAGCACTTTCAAATGATGTAAAAGTAGTATGTCTACATAATGTTTTTCTTAAAACGCTAACACATTTTGCCCAATGCGACACTCTCTGTTTTTATATTGTGTAATTATATTTGGCAACACATTTTGTATTTCCTCATTTCTACTTCAGTGTATGAAGTATTTTTAGCAAGAGGATAGAGTATATAAAATTGCAAAATAAATAAACATTCATCAATCTGTATTTTTTTACTTTTAATACTTAAGTACATTTTACCCAAGTAAAATCGAAAAGGAGTACTTAATACTTTTACTGGAGTAATATTTTAATATTGTATCCCTACTTTGGAACAAAGGGGGCATGCAGGTGTTTCTATTTTGCCCCATGTGCACAGGTTGAATGGACATGGGAGGACATCATAGACCCCCTGAGTCAAGAACTTGATTCTCTGGGGGTTCCACTTCCAGATGTCCTTCCAAGTGATACTCCGCTCCATCGCCTGCTCCCACTTCATTGGGAGCACCCCAATAGGACGGACTCAAGGACAACAACACAGGATAAAGGAATATTCAAGGCCTGGGTCTACCAGCATGGAATCTTCCCAAGAATCCTCTGGCCTCTGCTTATCTATGAGGTCCCAATGACTGTGGTAGAAGGTTTTGAGCAAAAGGTGAGCAGCTATCTACGTAGATGGCTGGGTCTACCGCGTAGCCTAAGTAACATCGGGCAATATGGGAAAACCAACAAGCTCAGGCTCCCTTTTAGCTCAGTCAGGGAGGAGTTCATCGTTGCACGGGCACGGGAACATCTGCAGTACTCTGGATCCAGAGATGCCAAAGTGTCCGGCGCAGGGATTGTTGTGAGGACAGGAAGGAAGTGGAGGGCAGCCGAGGCAGTCCAGCAAGCAAAGACTCGGCTGAAGCACAAGGCCATCCTTGGAACAGTGGCGCAAGGCAGAGCCGGACTTGGGAGTCTAAGAGCGACCCGATATGACTCTGCCGGCGGAAAGGAGAGGCAGAGGCTGGTACAGGAGGAGGTGCGAGCTTCAGTCGAGGAAGAGCGAACCAGCAGAGCAGTGGCCATGCGGCAGCAGGGCGCCTGGATGAAGTGGGAGCAGGCGATGGAGCGGAGTATCACTTGGAAGGACATCTGGAAGTGGAACCCCCAGAGAATCAAGTTCTTGATTCAGGGGGTCTATGATGTCCTCCCATGTCCATTCAACCTGTGCACATGGGGCAAAATAGAAACACCTGCATGCCCCCTTTGTTCCAAAGTAGGGACATTAGAACACATCCTGAGCAGCTGCTCCAAGGCGCTGGGTGAGGGCCGGTATCGATGGAGGCATGACCAGGTCCTCAAATCCATCGCTGAGGCAATCAGTAAGGGGATCAAGGACAGCCGACACACCCAAGTTGCAGCCAAGGCTATTCACTTCATCAGGGAAGGACAAAAGCCAGAGAAAGCATTGAAAACTGCTCAGGAGGTTTGCTCTCCACAGCCCGGGACTGGGTAATGACAGTTGGAACTGGAAAGGCAGCTGAAAATTCCAACATACATCACCCAGAGCAAATTGAGACCTGACATCATCTTGGTCTCTGAGGCCACAAAACAACTGATCTTGTTGGAGCTGACAGTGCCCTGGGAGGAAAGAATGGAGGAGGCAGGATATCTGTACTTTTACTCAAGTACTTGATTTGTGTACTACGTCCACCTCTGCATTTAATATGTTTAAAAGGTTGAACTGTTAAATATTTAAGTCTTTGAGATTCTTTTTTTGTATGTGATTCAGCTATATTTGGTGGTACAGTACCTGAGCAGGCAGTTTTCCAGCATTGGTAGGTTTACTAGTGGACCAGGCAAGTGTGTGTGCTGAGCCACAAGCCACACGGTTGATCTTCTTGCCCTGCAGTGCCGCCACGAGCCTGGGCCGCTGAATAGCATTGGTGGTCCCATCACCGAGCTGACCCTCATCATTGTCACCCCATGTGTACACTTCACCTGTATGTTCAAATTCATGTCTTTAGCAAATACTCATCCAAATACAAATAGGTATACAAGAAAACCTGATATCTTTTATAGTATATAAACATGTTACAACGACTTTATACCCAGATGACCTACCGTCCTCTGTGCAGCATACACAGTGAAGAGAACCAGTTGCTATGGCGATGACCTTCTTGCCTTGCAAACCCTGGACCTGCCGGGGTCTGCGTACATGATCATCCGAGCCGTGTCCCAGTCTGTGGTAGTCGCCTTTCCCCCTAAAACACACATAAACATGGAAATAACATATGTTCTCACTAAATAAAAGCTCAGTTTATGTGCCACTGTATTATGGGATTGATTACCATGTGTAAACTGCTCCAGACTTTGTGAGCGACACAGAGAACTGAGAGCCACATTCCACTTTCACAACACCCAATCCAGTTAATGAGTCAATCTGAGCAGAGAGAGACAATTAGATGTGAGTATTCATACAGGAATCACTAACCAGAAAGCCTTTGATGCTTGAGTAACTACACCAGCAGTCCCACCTTCATAGGCACTTTACATCCATCACTACCTCCTCGGCCCAGTTTGCCATAGTCTCCATCCCCCCATGACCAGACAATGTCGTCATCAGTCAGACACAGGGTCTGGGCGTCCCCACTGCCACATGCAACGTCTATCACCCGGTGACCCTGCAGAGCCTCCACCTATAAACATGCACAAGCAATGCACAGAATATACAGTCTTAGAGTTGAGATGCTACTAACTAAACCAAATTTAGCAGCAGTTTTCAAAATAATCTAGTTACAAAAAATTAAACTACTAATTACCACCGACTAATTTCAGAGAACAAGTTTGTTTGGTTAGTTTACAGTTATTAATTTTAATACTAATAAAAACTATTTATTATATAAAAATAATTAAAATAAAATGTTATCAAATTATTATTATGATGTTCCCAGACCATCTTCAATGAATTTCCATCCTTTTCCCAGTTGCTTATTAAAAACATATTTTTTTAATTATAGAGATTGTACACAACAATTTCTGATTTCGGAGCATAAAAATATTATATAAGTATAATATAATAATTATTATATTACAAAAGTCTAACAATATTTAGTAATGCACATTTCCTTAAATACTGTCATGTATCATGGTTTTGTTTAAAATGTAATATGCATAACTCGTAATGAACGCACCAGTTTTGGTTTAAGCTGGTCTTCACTGTCTCCATGACCCAGGCGACCATAACGACCTTTGCCCCATGTGTAGAGCTCTCCGCTGGCTGTGATGCAGGCACTATGGGCCCCACCGGCCGCAATGTCCACAACTTCCACCCCTCTGAGAGACTCAATCACGCGTGGACGGTCACATGGGCTGGGAAAAAGACAGCACTACCAGTCACATATACAGTACCTTTTAGTATAAGCTGCTAAACCGAATCAGTGATAGTCTGGCGCACATACTGGAGTGGGTAATGACTTTTGCTTCACTTCCTGTAAAACTCTACACAACATTCAATACAAGTTATGTCAATTATTATGTTTATTTATTTATTCACTTATTTAATTGTATAGAACACTGTCTAACCATAGAGCGAGCCTCTCCTTCACTGTCTCCTAAGAGGCGGTTGATGTTTATGGATTGGCCATATTCAGTGGTTAGAAGTTTTCGTAGCCTCTGCAGGGCCCACATACGATGACCAGCCGCTGAACAAGCACATAGAGACAAAGACAGTCGAATATTGATTATAAAACCTTAAATTTAAGATTTCAATCTGAGATTTCAAGATTTCAAGTATTAAATAACCTTTTTCTCTAAAAGCCCAAGACACACACAGACATCTAAATATTTCACATCTACAATCTCTCCAAAACATGGACTAGTAGAAATTATAATAATTATAAAACATAACCGTATTAAATATAAATATACAAATAAATTATTAGAAATAATATATAATATAATATATAATTGTCGACTAGCCATTAGTCGACGAGAAGAGGCTTAGTCGATCCAATTTTTTTTTTAGTCGCAGGGACAAAAAAAAAAGTAATAATTTCCACAGGGAGGTGGCAAAGTCACGTAGCTCGAGATGGACAGATTATTAATAGCTGGTCTATGTGGTAATTACAGTACATCGATCAGGACATCCACACGGTCATTTCGTTTGGGACCTCAAATGTGGCTTATCATCTGAAACATGTAAGTAGTAGCGTCATTACATGGCCGCTCGCTTTAATGTTAACCTAGAAAAATATGCGCTATTCAAGTGTCTGTGTGGAAGCTGAATAGTAGCGCGCTCACTCAGTGCAATCATTTGCTTTTAACTTAAAATACTCACAGATAAGAGTAACACATCTTTTGAATCTGTAAAAGGTCTCCTTTCATTTGTGTGCACTCAAATTAACAGCAAAACGTTGTGCTTTTGTAAAATGATGAAAGAAAACAGGCTCCGCTTTCTGCCATCTAGGTCTCTGTGAACTTGAGTGCAAGCATAATGCTGATAAGCTATTGGCAATTAAAGGCTCGTTATTATGAATTATATGGTTTATTCATATAAGCATGTGATTAGTCGAATAATAATCGCTTTAAATGAACAACTATTTGTCAATCAGAAAAATCTTTAGTCGAGGGCAGCCCTAATAAGATAAGAATAGAATAGAATAGAATAGAATAGAATAATTCTTTCAAAGGTTCTTCTCTTACCCAGGGCACTGAGCTGGGCACAAGCAGCAAGAGAGGCTGCCAACCTTGGAACAATGCTACGGTTTGAAGCAAAGTTCAGGCGAAAGTCCAGCAGACATGTTACTAAATCCATCGAAGGGCAGGACAGAATGCAACGGTCTGACAGGAGGTCTTTAGGACCTGCAGGTAATTCAATAAAAGGTCAATCACTTCAGAATATCATGTTACATATGAAGTATATACAATGAAGTGATATCATATTAAACTGATGTACCAGCGGCAGGCATTATGGGATAGACAGTGAAGCGCCAGCCCCAGCCGTTAACAGAGCCATCACTGGTGAACTTCCATTTGAGCTCATCTCCCGGAATCCTCAATTCACTGGACCAATCAGACCACTCCCGACCTAAAGGGGTGGAAACAGGTATGGTTATGTGGCCAATGCTCAAACAACTTTTTTACTAATGTTAAAACAATAAAGAATAAAGAATGTGACCTGATCGAACAGACACAATCCTATTGGCTCCGTCCATGATGGTAAGAGGGTCGTGTCTCCTTTCTGTTGAACACTGGCGATCAAATTCCACCCTCAATCCTTCAGCACCTAAAATAACCACACACAAGATCAAATTTTCATGTCTTTAAATCTCCTAATTCTTAGAGCATAGAGCTTCATAAAGCATCTAACACTACAGTACAAAAAAAATTTTTTTGAAAGAAATTAATACTTTTCTTCAATAAGCATGTTAAATTAATCAAAAGTTAAAATAAAAAACATCTACAGTATAATGTTAGAAAAATTTCCACTTCAAATAAATGTTGTTCTTTTGAATTTTCTATTCGTCAAAAAATTTTAAAAATGTAAAAGTTTTAGTAGCACAACTGTTTTCAACATTGATAAAAAATTTGAAATGTTTCTTCAGCGTGAAGCTGAAGGAGATGAAGGATCATGTGACACTGACGACTAGAGTAATGGCAGCTAAATGTTCAGCTTTGCCCTCACAGGAATAAAGTACAAAACAGTTACTGTAAATTGTAATATTATTTCACAATATCACTGTTTTTACTGTATATTTGCTCAAATGAAAACAGCATTGGTGAGTGTTGGTTAATTTCCATCAACAATAAAATGCTAGATTTTTGGCTTGTGTAAACTTTGCCTGACTGTGGCAAAGTTTAATACTTAGATTTAGGGATTTGTTCAAATAAAAATAATAATGCTTTGGCAAGCACCATTAATGAGGTTGTGATGGCTGCCGAGATGCTGAATAAACAGAAAAACACAAGGTGACCTGGTATTTTCACAGTTCCGCTAGTGGAAGTGTCGTCAGTGTATGGGTGACTGCTCTCCACCACCACAGGCTGCGATGACAGCCGTCCACTTTGAGAGTCAGTGGCTACGTCCTCTAACTCAGTCACACACAACTCCAGCAGCATATCTGCCACCTGTGTGCCAACAAATACATTTAGATACGAGTACACAGAATTTCAAAGATGAAATAATAATGTTAGAAAAACATGTAGTGAGTTACTAAAGAGGTTAGTTTTTACCTGTGGGAAGGCTGTACCCATGCCAGACAGCACAGCAGAGAGCACCTCCTTGCCTTTATCGCCTGAGCGCAGAGACACAGCCAGTTTTAACAGGTCTACCAACACACGTGTGTCATCAGGAACCAGCAGACTGGTGAACTCATCCAGATATTGTGGCTCTGGGCCCACTGCTTTACTCTGGCTCTCAGAGTCCTGTTCCAATAAATCAAACCAGGCCACTGTAAATATCACTTTAGTTTATACAAGGGATTGAAGCAAAATCAACATACAAATGTAATCCTTTTTAAACAGACTTAAAATGCACGCATTTCGCTTTAATGATCAGGAACAAACATCTACAAAGAATGATTAACAGGAACATTTCTATGACCGGCAGGCTAGAATTCACTTGGGCCATTCTGTTATTTTTCCTCTATAATGCAGTCAAAGAGCCATACATTTAAAAGTGTAACTGTGTCCCCTAATCAAAAAATTTTAAATAAATAAATGAACGCTAGCTTGGTCAAACAATGAAACAATAAATCCCTTCTAGTAAACAAAACAAGAAACACAAAATCATAAATTGTGACATTGCATCCATAATTACAATTCGTTATAGTAGTTTAAGAAATTTTGTTTTAAAATAGCAAGCTGATGCTACCATAAAAAAGTAATACTAAAAAAAAAAAAAATACAATAAATTTACAAATAATTAAAATAAATTGGCAAATAAATACATTGACAAATACACAAATAAATGGAAAAATAAATCAAATGAATAAATAAATGTTTGACTTCATAAAACCACTGCATGCAAGCATGTGAGACTGACCTCTTTGGTTTTGGTCATGGTCTCAGCAATGATGCTGGCAGCACCAGGGTCATCTGTGACTGGGATAAAGGGGCGAGATGAAGCAGAGGCAGTTGAAGGGGTCACCGCTGATGAAGGGGTAGTGGCATCCTCAGACGTGGTCACCTGGACCGCACAATACCATATGACAGAATGAGCTTGTAAATGCACAGCATATACTGTTGTTTTGGACATTTGAATGATTGTGTATTAAAAGAACAAAATAACAAATAAATAAAAAAAGTTGAATATTACAGAATATTGACTACTGAAGAAAAAAAAGAAGTACAGCAAATGTGAATGACACTGTCATGCACAGGCAGCACTACTCACCTCTCCTCGTTTGCTGTCCATCCAGGGGTGCGGACTGACCCTTTCCTCTGTTTCTGAGGGCAGGGCCGGACCCTCAGCCTCACAGGGGCTGGAGGCTGATGAACAATCCGAAGGGGGCACCGGAGAGCTGGAGGGACACTCCAGAGGCATCATAAAGGCAGGCATCAGTGCTCCCACCACAGCATCCCTGTGTGACATGAGAGCAATTAAGTGATGCCAGAGCTTTTATTTTATTTTATGGAGCAGAAAACAATCAACCTGGAATGCAGAGTAGTTCTAATGCCCTAAATATATGCATTAAGGTTGTACCTGGCATACATGATCTGCAGGGCAGAGAGTACATGGGACAGGGCTTGCTGTTTGGCCAGATTACCGTCCAGAGAGAGCAGAATCTTTGCCAGAGATGGCCTGTTGGGCTTTACATTGTTCACACCATTTAGCTTATTACTTAGTAAAGATGGATCACTGTCTGATGGCACACCTATAAAAAAAAACCACCACAAAACTTTAACTTTAAGCAACAGGCACACAACGACAGAAAAGCAATGTAGATTGGGCGGAAATTACCAAGGTAAGAGGCTCCCAGAGAGTCTCTAGCAGTCTGGAAGAGGACAGGCTCATGGACGGAGGGTGTGGTGACATCTACGGTGGTCCAGGCCACGCTGTGAGAGGAGCCGCAGGCCACACGGGTAATTTTCTGCCCCTCTAGACCCTGCACCAGCGTAGGCTTCCTGTTGACTGTGGTTGTGCCGTTCCCCTGCTGCCCATGGTCATTATCCCCCCAAGCGTACACCTACCCAAACAACACTTCATATTACACAAGCACTAAAGTGAACAACTGTTCATCAGCAAAAGGTGAGTCTTGTTTACCATGCACCATGAGTTGCTTAATGTGCCAAAATAAAAAAGGAGGAGGAAACTGTTCTTGTGCTACTCCTCTACAGCGCCAAGCAGATAAATGTAAAAAACCAAACCCGTAGCGCACCTGTCCAGTGTCTGTGACAGCCAGGCAGTGCAGGGCCCCTACAGCCACGTGAACAATCTTCTTTCCCCTCAGTCCTTCAACCATCTGGGGTTTGCGCACGTGAACATCTGTGCCGTGACCCAGTCGGAAGTAATCCCCCTTACCCCTGCACAATGCAACAGCAGCATGTTAAAAAGCTTCACTGAGGAAAAAAGCCATTTTTAAAGGGGTGGTTGATTGCGATTTCACTTTTTTAATGTTAGTTAGTGTGTAATGTTGCTGTTTGATCATAAACAATATCTGCAAAGTTACGAAGCTGAAAGTTCAATGCAAACGGAGATATCGTCTTTTAAAATTCTGGCAGTTTAATGCCTACAAAAACGACTGGTAAGGGACTACAACGAGTTACTTCCCAG